CGCGTCTACAGGAGTGGCAGTTTGAGACGTTCAAGGTTGTACTACGCAAAGCAAGGCCTGGCGAGTCCGATTTCGCGACCTTCCCTGGGCAGGGCAGGTGGCAGTACAAAGCAGCAGAGGGAGATTAGCGGCTTTGTCCAACCCCCTTTGACCTCGTCTTCTGATAAGCCTCCAAACCTTCTTTTGTGTCTTCGTGTTGCTGTGAGCGAGTGCGAAAGCCGCTTCTAGCAAATCAGAGGGGTGGCGCAAAACACGTGATCGCTCTCCGTAGGACAAGGACGCTTGGACGGAAATTTGTCACGTGATTCGCTCTGACGCGCTGATGGGCTACTGGGGCCGTAGTCTTTGCCGTATGCCAAGTTATGGTGAGTTGTAGGGGCCACGTAGGCCCGGTTTACAAAACGGGGGGCGCCCGTCAGTGTATTCCTGTTTTTCGTGTGGTTCAGTCGCGGCCGTGATTTTTCCTCGTGAACGACCGGAATACATCTATGACAACTTTTCGGAAATGGTCGTTTATTTCGTCGGATTCCATGGAATTATTGTGCTGTATTTGGTGGACGCATTTCGACAAGGAGCTTCTCATCGGCGGCCGCGAGACTTCCGTTGAATGTGATCGACCGCCTTCAACCTCGGCATTATGTTTGCTTTGTTTTGTGCTGCCTTAATCGGATTACGCATCTATCACGACAGAGAGGTGCTCATCGGCGACCGCGAAACTTCCGCTGAATGTGAGCGACCGCTTCATCCTCGACATTGCGTTTGTGGATAGTTCTGTGCTGCCCGAATCGGATTATGCATCTATCACGGATTACATGAGATCGCTGTTTTATTTGTAAGAACTCTTCAAGCATGCTTCTGATAGTATTCCAAGGGGGCTATGTTCGACAAATGTTTCATTTCTCCTAAAAAGAAACTGAAGTGACGGAAGCCACGATCGCGTTTGATTGGTTGGAAGGTCAAATGGCGAAAATAAGTAACTTTCGTCATTTGAATCCCTAACCAATCAAACGCGATATCGTCACTTCCGCCACTTCCGTTTAAATTTAGGAGTAACGAAACATTTGTCCAACATAGCCTCCCTGCTTCCGTTTCAATAGACCATTTTACGGTTTACAAACATGAACTGCCGCTTGCGTCCCAAGCAACTCCTGGTCGTACCGTCTTTGCAAGCTTGTCAGTTTTGTCCACGTCACCAGTGCAAGAAAGCATAAACGTCACAAGAAAAGTACAGTTGGAGATTCAACTAGGGCCTTCGGTTGTACAATTTGAAGGGGTTATGAAGCAATATCAGGTGTAAATATTTATGACCTTACACGCACGGACCGCCACTGGTTTAGAAGCGTCTCGGTCGTGGTGGAATTGCGAGGGTAAAATAGAACTATTTCTTTCAGTCTTGCCTTCGCCAAGTTTGATGACGTGCGCGTGAACGTAGCTTTGCCGTTTGGCACGCTTGTAATTGCACGCACTTGCCCGCATAAGCAGAGCCATGGCTGCGGCCAGATGACCTGCTTGCAATCGTCTATAGAGAATTTTGTAGAACCTGTTAGAACCTTGATTAAAAAATAAAAAGTGAACCAGGCATTTGCAGTCATTTTATCGTGCACTCTTTTGGGTTATTACGCATTACTTTATGGGTGTTGGTGATCGTGCCTTTTTTATTTCCCTTTCTGGCGCTGATACACACAATTTAGAGGGCGTACTGCGCAGACATAATGCCCTAATGAAAAGGTGTACAGAGGAATCACACCCTAATTGAAAGGTGTTCGGAATAACGCCGTCCTTTAAGGGTGTTAGGGAAAAACGCCCTATTTTAGGGGCGTTAGGAATAACGCCCTTTGTTTAGGGCGTTTTGCTACACCCAAATGGGTGTTAGTTATAGGACAAGCCATTTACACCCACAAGGGTGTTACGATGTTTAGTGTGTACACCAGAGTGCCCGCACTTCGTCTTAACCAAATGAAGCCAGCAACCGAGTAATGACTACAAGTCTGGCAGCGACAGGCGTGTAATTTTTCCCAAGGTAGCATAAATTCACTGATCAAAACTTTATGTTCTATTGTTCAGACCTAAAGACCGTGGCCACTTTGGTCTCAATTCAGCTGAATCTTGGTGTAGTAATGGCTACATATGCTGCAGACAGGGAAAGGGGGGGGGAAAGAGACTCTTTATTACAAAGTGTTGTAGATGGGGAGTGGGGAGAGCAGGTTCCAGCAAAACAGAGTTTGGGGAAGGCACCGGACCAACTCTCTGACTACGTGCCTGGCTGTGGAGTTGTGTAATGACGAGGTTTTTATGCAAAAAAGAGTTTATGCAATTTAGAAACTAGGCCAGTTGCGAACAGGGTGATTAATGATTGCTGTTGGAATAGCAAAGTAATAAATGACCTGCCTACCTCTTGGTCAACCATCAAAGAGCTTGCGAATGCCTCGCAGTCCTCCTCAATGTCCTCCCATGGAGGTAGAGGACCTCCCTTGAAGAGGTTGCAAAGGAGTACCTCCCTGTATCTCCCTTCTGCTGGGACGTATGGAGCAGAATACCCTGGTACCAGTGCTAACAGCGCTGGCTTGGAAGGAGCTTCCTTCAGCTTGTCGTAGAAGGCACTTATCATGGCTTGACTGGGCCTGGGCACATGCTTCATGAGCTTTTGTGGTGGTCTGGCAGCTTGCTCGTCCAGCTGCCTCTTCTTCATGGATGCCGAACCGAAGTCTATCTCGGCTACAGTCTTGCAGACCAGCTTGTTGACTGTTGGTGGCAGCCACGCATTTTCCCCATCTGTGCAGGCCTGACTATCCATGCGCCTCACCACCACCTCCATGTAGAAAAGGATAGCCGCAACATGGGAAGAGGCTTCAGCCAAGCCGGCCATGGAGTAGCAGTGTGCGGTGAGGACCTCGCCGTCTGGTCGTAGGAGGACCCATGGGAGCAAGGGCTTTGTGCTGAATGTCTGGGAGTGCTTTACCTGAAATATATAAGGGTACATCATCATTTTTGTGCACGCAATACATCGAACACAAAATGGCCATTGGTATAACCGGCCGAAAACGGTTTGGGTTGGGCAAACATTTACAGAACTAAGTATAAACTCGTTGGTAACTTTCCCCCCACATCAGGGGACAACGTAGACGCGTGGCCACGTGGCTGAGTAGGATCATTTTGTTGTTAACTCGAGCAAACTCTCGAGGGGTTAAGGCGCCTTTCGGGGTTAGATGCTTGCGCTCGCACACTCATGAACACGACTGGGTGGAATGCGGTGGCTGATTTCCGCTCGCGGCGAGGCCACTTAAAAGCAAAAGCTGGTCAAGCAGCTTGACGCTGACATTTAAACGCATCAATAATTTTTATTCAAAACCCGCGTCCCGCTCAAGCGAAATGTTGGAGGCGCAGACCGACAACTTTGAGTAATGCTGCTCCGCGGTAAATCACGTCCCACGATGTAACGCAGCGCTTTTACGCTAATTACGCGAGCCTTAGTCGTGCGACACAGGTTCAGAATACTACTATTTTTATGAATACCGGACCCATGCCACACAAACCGAAAAATGCATTGTGGTTACTGATTCACTTACCTTCGCGACACAGACGACATTCTTGTCCGGCAGGACTTTAAGCCTGGGCTGACTTACCCATCCGCTTGTTAAGTAATTATGCGCTTCCAGGGAGTTGGAAGCTTTGAACTGTTCTCTAGAGTAGAAACTTGTTCCATTCACGAGATAGTCCTTGATGTCCGTCGTTTCCACTCGTGGATACAAGTTGACATCCACGAGAGTGTCCTATCGTCGAGTAGAAGCGGATTGACGGATCCACACATCGCCACTTTCTGCTCGTACCGCGCCCGAACTCGTCCGGCGAGACTCGCGGCATATGCGCCTAAGATTAACATTGCTAGGCACCAAAGAACAAGACACTCCGAAATGCGGAGATGGCAGCGCTGCTACAGCGAACTGACGCCGAAGACCCGCCAATATGGCGTACTGGGCAAAATCAGCCGGAAGTGACGTCTTATGCAAGAAGCGTATAGCGCGCGTTGTCCGTTCGTTTCCGGCAATATGACACTCGCCCAGTAGAGCAAGCCCAGTATAGCTGACGCTGTAAAAGCGTGATCGGCTGACAAGTAAGGCGGAAAAATCAACGCCAATATACAGCACGCTAAAAGTCTCATGAAAGTATTTAAAAAAATAAGGACATAGAAAGGTTCTTGTTAAGCACAAGCCCATATATTTCATTTTATTTATTTCTCACCTCGGAACTACAACATCCTTGGAGATACATTATACCAAAAATTACAACATCGCAGGAGTGTCATTAACTGACTCCGAGGGCCTTGAGATTTACAACATCCTCGGAGATACAATGTCCTTAATATCACAACATCAATGAAATTACATTATTTGGCACGAAGAGTCCTCAGAGTTTCAATCTTCATGGAATTACAGCAAGGGGTTCCGACGCAGATAATCGAGTCACGCCATGACCCTTTTTAAAATTCAGTCCGGTGATTTTCATCGATGGCATAATATGATGTATGGATTCTGTGGGGTATTAAGGGCGGCCATCTTGTGACTAATGATAAAATAAGTTAAAGATGGTCTTAATTAAATGATGCGAGGCATATACATTCTACATGTTAATTCAACGGGACGAATCATCTGAAAAAAAAAAAGCTGGGCAAGCGTTCCTTTCTAACCTGAATACATCTGTCTCTTGGCACACAATCGGCTCTAATGCGCCTTCATATTAATAACTTCATTGGGAAGCTTTCTGCTTTGAAGTTTGTTCTGGAGTGTTTCTAACTTTGTCATAATCGAAACTAAAATATAGAAGAATGATAGCACAGTGAGGAGCACACTCTTTCTCTCGCGGACTTGAAAAAGTGACGGTGCACGACGTGTATTACTGGAATTTGTACGGAAAACGATGAACTATAACTTGGGCCACCATATAACACTGAAATGTTAAAAGCGACTATACTTTTTAGAGTTACAATCGTGAAGCGGCACAACATGGCATTGAAAGCAGACAACAGAAGTGAGGTCCGCGTCTGGATTGCTCAAACTCGATGGTTACTTTCATTCCTTTTAGTTACAGCTTTCACCTCGCCGTGAATGATTAGAATGATTAATTCGAAGTAAAAGCTAGATCTAAACCAGGGGTCTCGAAACCCTGGCCCGCGGGTCAGATGCCGCCCGCGGAAGTTTCCCGACCGGCTCGAGGACGCCGCGGTCTTTACAGTGAAGCCCGACTTGCGGCACGCCTCCGGCAGATCCGCTGCCGATGTAAGAAGTGTCCGTAAAGAAACGGCGTTGCAACGCGCTAGAAATATGCAAACTAACATAGCAGAAAAAACAAGGGAAACTGCACTGTAATGCAAGTCCTCTTGCCATATAATTTATTTACAAAAAAAACTGCATCACCGCCAGGCATTATTGCAGGCGTTGGGTACAAAAAAGAAAAAAAAAGAGTCATCATGCATAGTTGAAAAATTCAACAAAAGCACTATCTTTAAACACTAGTGCAAAAGCAGGCATTATTTATGAGCTGCGACGATAGAGTAGAAGCGAAGGCATTATCTATAGCGCTACTAACATTAAACACTGTCATAATCAGAATTACTATTCGTAGTCCCATGTTCATGTCTGTGTAAATATTTTAAAATGTAATTGCCTTCTCATATACATTGGACTTAGCTCAGTTGCTACTATAGCATATTCTGAGCATTTATGAGCATTCGTTTTATCATTGTCATTAGTATTTGTGCGGCGCGAATGTGCCAGTTTTATGATGATTGCTTTTCGACTGGTAAGCTTTTTTGGACCACAAGTGTTACGTGATGATATATTTAGCTAAATATAAAATTTTAGATTGAGGCATATGTATTAATCCATCTTAGAAATTTCTAGTACTTATTCTACCATATTCTTCTGACATTCATTTATGCGTTTAAATGGTTATCTAGGTTTATTTATTTAGTTTTCTTTAGTTAATGATTACTATCTTCTCCCGGCCTTCAAAACTGCGATAGATCTCTTATCCGGCCCCTTAGCCGAAACGTTTGTAAACCTCTGATCTGAAGTAACATTATTTTTAACATGCATGTCCACCACGTCGTGGTATTTTCTAACTAAAACATGTTGCGTCAACCAAAGAGCCTAGATTTAAGAGTGGGAACGACTGAAAACATAAAAGGCGTTTGTTATTTAATGGCGGACACCGTCAGCGCAAATTAATTGCCTATGCGCATGCGTGTCTTTCCGCTTGGCTAGGAGGATAGAGTGTGCAGAGGTGGGTGAAAGATGGAAGGCACTTGCACACAATCGACTCTTCCACCTACTCCTAGCACCATTTGTTGCAAGCGCGCCTATACGTCACGTGGTCTCGATCGAAGACTCATAAACACTCTCCATTATAATAAAAAAAACGCGACTTCTCGATAGCAGTGCCAAGCACGCTCTTGGCACAACTCGTTCGTCTGTTGGGGCGTCTGTCGTAGAAATGCCCAAGAGTGGTTTTCTTGTTTTGCGCGCAAACAGAGCTAGGTTTTGAAACGGGACTAGGCAATGCACTTCTGCGATCCACATTTGATGAAAATTTTAGTTAGCTATATTCAGAAGCTGTTTATTGTCCGGGTGATTTTCTTCAACCTGACTATTCCATTCAACTTATAATATCCCATAAGGAATATTGTGCCAGTGGTCATTTTGGAATCAGAAAGTGTAAAGCAAAATATAGTCCATTCATTTCGTACGATCTTTTTTTTCTGAACTGTTTGTCACAATTTCACTTAAAAATAATTTAGGCAGGTCCTGAGAACATAAATATATCTATTTTTAAACGGGCAATACTATTAGCAAACACTATACTTCGTCTCACCCTACGATGGACTAAAGGCAGAAGCTACGAACCGCCAGATCCAATCACGAGCCACTTAGACATTGCGTGGTATTTCGCTTCGATGCACGTATCGTGCCCGCGTCTCGGATCGCTGATGGGAGCGGGCGAATAGTGGTTCGGATCGAGCAATGAGTGACTCAACGATTTTACATTGCAAAGAAAGCCACGACGTACTGGCTCTTTGCAGTGTCGAGGCTATAAAAATGACGCAGCGTTTTTGGATACGAACCATTATTCGTCCAAAGCCATGCTACGCGTGTCATAGTTTGGCGTGAAGCGTGATTGGACCTGGCGGCCCGTGGCTTTGGCCTTTAGTCCATTGCACGATGAGATAAAGTATAGTATGATTTGCATTCTTAGATTCTCACATATCTTTCGTACACACACTCTAAAAATAAGGAGCAGAAATTAAGAATAAACCGATGTTCCACCCTGTTGCCAACGGAAGGGAGGAAATTTCCCCCGTTCCTCCCTTTCACCAATCCACGTGCAGCGCCACCTAGTGCCGCTCAAAAAAGGGACGAAAATCCTCCTCTACGTTCGTAGCGGCAGCGGCGGTCGAACCATCGCTGCCGCCGCGAACATGTTCAATGGCTGTGACAGCAACTTGAGGGCTTGGTTACCGTCACGTAGAGCGATCCCACTACTACCCATGCGCGGTGCTAGCGGAGGAAAAGCGGAGCTGCGGGGGCTAGCGGAGGTACACTAGTTTAACAAAAAAGCGAGGCGCGTAGTGCGGCGTGTGTCTAGCGAGAATCACGCCGTATGTGCCCGCTCCGGGATTGCGCCTGTTTATGGTGGATGAAAGCTTGCTGCTGCGATAAGCAACGGCGGCGATTTCTCACTGGCATAGCAAGTACGACCACTTTTGCCGCGTTACTTGCAAAAGACAAGTTGACATAGTAATATATCGTTAACGAGCTCGTCTGCCTACTTCCTTTACCTTTAATGACAAGTAATGAGCGCAGAAGATAAATCGTCATTATTTTTTTTTTTTTGCGTGATTATGTAGCTGCTAGGATTGCTGCTTTATTTGAGTCGACCCGTCTCTACGTTCCTACCCCCTCACCTCCGCGAGGAACGTATACTCTTGAAATAAAGCGTGCGTACCATACAGCGAAAGATAATCCGTGCGGCGTTTATTTCTCTTTTGTGTCAAACAGAACATCATATCCGGTCGATAGTAACGTGCACTGCGTTGCGACGAGCAATTGCGTTTGACACACGTTGTAGTCCGTCAAAATCGAAACCACAACCGGCTTGCGGGAAACACGCGTTCTTTGAAAAACCATAGTGTCGCACAAGAAATGGCACTGAATTGATGATTTGGCGAAGGACCGAAGCAACGGATCCGGAAAGCAAGGTCAACTGTGCATTCGGGAAGTGTCCACTCGGAAGAAAGGCTAGTACAGATATTCCATTCTGGTTGCGGGGCGAAGTGGTGGAGGGAGGGCGGTCCGCGGGCTTGAAGGAACGGATGATTCACCACAGCCGACGGTTCACCGCTGCTTTTTTAGTTTGCGCTGCGCTGCATCTCCTACAATATAACTAATAACGCACACGCAAAAAAAAAAAAAATAGCTGTTGCAATTTTTTTTTATGCGGCCGCGACTTTGTTTACTAATGCGGGGTTCCTCTCGTGTCGCGAAACGAGCGCGGCTGTAGTGGTGTTAAAACCAGTAGTATTGTTTCTTTGACACATCTATTGAAATTCTTGTGCAACTATTAAAATGATTCATTACCCCACCAAGACTGAAAATAAATTATACTGGCACTGAACACTACAATCAAACAATAGCTTGATTGCAATATTCAGCACCAGTGTACTGCACTTCAACACTGCATTGCCAACATGATTCATCAAACTTATTGCAAATATAATTATTAAATTTTAGCTAATTAGCTTAATGATCTACATTTGCTTTGTTCCGAGTGTTGAATTAAGAAAGGGGGGGATACTTTTGAAATAATGTATTAAGTACGAGTAATATTTACTCCGCCTCTCCGTGTTTATAGAAAAATGATGGCAGTCACCGGACAAGTCAGATTCCAAAATAAGACTTTCATATATAGAGATAGTGTGAATGCGTACGTAGAGAGGTGTGGGGAAGATTCCACTTCCGGCTTTCAGCCAGAGAGGACGGCGCTATGAATCGCTCCCCGAATCGCTCCACCGAATGTTTCTTTTTTGCCAAATGATTACCGTCTACTTTTGCCTGCTCTGCCCACCGGAAATGCTGAAAAGCTCAGCGTGATTCTTCACGCTGATCTTCAAGGAAGACCCTACCGGATTGAAGACTTCCGTCAACCGTTGTACAAGGTGGTAGATTTTGCTGGGAGTGGCTGGTCTGGGGGCCTTCTTGATGAGCCACTTCTAGCTGTTGAAACTTCATTCTCTGTAAGCAAAGACCAAGCTTTTGGAAGCCGGTAGCTTACAAGTAAAGGGCCGCTTTTGCCATCTCGTAGACCCGTGTCGGACGGAGCTGCGCATCAAGCTCCACTGGGTCACGTTCGACGTCCCAGTGAACACGGTGCGTCGTGCCTTCGAGCCCTTCGGCTCGGTCAAGGAAATTATCAGAGAAAAGTGGAAAGTGCCAGGCTTTGTTGACGTCGAGTCCACCACGCTGGTGGTGCGGATGACGCTAAAGGACGGCGTTTCTTTGGAGAACCTCCCACACCAGCTGCGGATCTGTGGGGGGAACGTCCTGGTCGTCTTCCCTGGTCGCGCGCCGATCTGCCTCCGGTGCCACCGAGCGCGACACATACGCCGAGACTGCAGGGTGCCCCGGTGTAACCTGTGCCAGGCCTTCGGACACGAGGCCTCGTCGTGCATCAAGCCGTACGCCCGCGTTGGGACCGGAAATTTCATCGAACGCCGTTTCGTCGAACGCCGTTTCATCGAAGCCGTTTCATCGAATGCCGTTTCATCGAACGCCGTTTCATCGAACGCCGTTTCATCGAACGCCGTTTCATCGAAGCCGTTTCATCGAACGCCGTTTTATCGAACGCCGTCTTATCGAACGCCAAGGTTGCATTCCCGCGTCCTAAAGCTGGTCGGAGGTGCCCATCCCGAGTTCTGGAAGTTTTTGACTTGCATCGCCGCAGAACATCAACTGACGGAAGACAAGCTGGAGGCGATGCTGAGTTCCCAAGCGCCTCCTCGCCAGAAGAAGGCCATAGCGGCAAGAAATGAAAAGGCCCGCCTTTTTTATGAGAACCGACGGAGCATGGCTGTAGGGGACTTTTTGAGAGCAATTGCTCATCATTACAAACGATGAATGGCTGTCGCGCGAACGCATGAACCCCCGAAAGTTTTCAAATAAAATTTGAAGTGGCGTACTTACTTTTGACTTCATTGAGTCTTAGAACTAAAAATACAATGTTTCGTTGTAGTTTCATAAATAGCACTTCAGCTTTAGCTACTGCAAGCTTCGGGCAGTAAAAAAAGTATCAATAGAAAGACATGAGAGGCTATAGGAGGCTCACATGGCTAAAGTTGTTGCGCCTGCGCAAAACCTAAGTCGCCTTCTGGCCTCCATGAGTTGGAGTGCGCTCTGACCGGGAGTGCGACTTTCTATTTATTTGATACTATACCTTCAAGGCCCATCGGGTAATACATAGGGGGTGAACAGATAAGCACAATATGCGAAACAAACATAAAAATCGGTACAAATATCCTCATGGGTTACTTGCATCAAAATAAATTGTAACAGCTACAAGTTTGGTCATGAAAAAAACTTGACGATGAAAGGGTGAATTACACGAAAATGCACTCGATCCGTGCATAAACGAGCATCTTTCACACTTTTTATTTAAAAGACATTCGATGAAACGGCCGTCAGCGATTCGATGAAACGGCGTTCGATGAATCGGCGTTCGATGAAACGTCCATTTTTTCGATGAAACGGCGTTCGACGAAACGGCGTTCAATGAAATGTCCGGGAACCCGCCCGCGTCACTGGCAACGACACCGCCGTGGCGTCGACGCCGAGACCATGGACGTGTTCGAGGCCGAGAGGGCAGCAACAGCGACGTCGCCGACAGACCAGCAAACCCACGGCGGGCCCGCAGAGAACGGCGGAGTATGTGATGAGGCGAAACCAAGACCCTCGCCCGGGGCATCAAAAGAAAAGGCGGACCCCGAAGTCGCGGCTGAAAAGGTGACGGACACGGCAACCGCCGTGCCGGGGGACGATGACGGCAAGGACCGTGTGGACGAAGACGTCGGGACTAACCTTCATGACGAAGACAAGGTCCAGGGTGACGACGACGGCAAGCCCAAGGAGGGCGAGGGTGGCGTCGACGGCAGGTTCAAGGACGCGGAGACCGGAGCGGTGAGGCGACGGCACGAAGGCGTAAGCTCCAAGAACGCCGACAGGGAACTGCGACGCCTCGAGCGCGAGTGGGTTGGCAACGGGGGAATTAAGCGTGTACGGTCGAGGTCTCGCCAGCGCCAAGGAGCAGCAACCGAAGTGAGCTGTCGCGTATACTGTTGAAAAAATTTCTTCACAGTTTTTTTGTTTCTAAACGCAGCTCTTTCCTGTTGGTCCTACCTAGAATTTAAGCATGTTAGAAAAGTCTTTGCGCGTGGGCACTTTAAACGTATGGGGACTGTGTTCACTGCGCTGGCAGTGCAAACTAAGCCGCCTGTTCATTGAGCACGACCTCGATATTGTGGCTGTTCAAGTTCAAAAGCCAACGATGAAAGGCGAGGGCCAGCCGGAGAGCATAGTGCGGATGTCTGAGTCGCGGTACGACGTTTGTGTAAGTCACGCTGTCGGAACGTCTGGTGGGTGCCTTTGTTTTTGCGCAAGGGTTTGTTTACTGTAGAGCAGGTTATTAGCGATGAGTCAGTACGTTTTGTCCTCTGTGATCTTTCTTCTCCTAGTAACATCTTCCGTGTTTTGTGCATTTACGAACCGAATAGAATCGATGAAAGAGTGGGGTTTTTTGAGAGTCTTGAGAAGTAAGTTCGGACCGATCGGCGTGTCATTTTGCTAGGGGACTTTAATGTGTGTGCGCGCCTCGTGATCGGTCGAACAGCGAGAGGTTTCATGATGAAAGTGCTTTGCTTTTGGGGGGGGGGGGGGGGGGGGGGGGTTATGGTCGAGCGGCACGGCCTAGAAAACGTTGCTGACTGCGTGTCTCGTGGTTCTGCTCTTTACACACTTTCAAGGAGCAAGTCATGCTCGCCTTGACAGACTGTATGTTTCTTTTAAATTGCCGAGACTGTGTGAAAAGTATGTTGTTGATCATGTCTCATTTAGTGACCACTGCCTTGTTTATTTTATGCTATGGGCATCTAAGGAGAAGCCGAAAAAGTTTGGTTGGAATCTTTGGAAATGTAACACTAAGCTCCTTGGCGATGATTATTTCGTTAATTCAGTTAGTCAAACTCTAGATGGGTTGGCAAGGGCCGAGGGGAACGATTTTAGTAGAAAGTGGGAATTTTTTAAACAAGATGTAAAAATGACAGCGTTTGAACCCTCAAGTATTTTGAAACACGAGAAGGAAAGGGTAAAGCAGGAACTAGATGGCCTGCTGAAAGAGTTATTGCACGAATAATGTTTATCGCCTGGGCTTTTCGCTGATGACATTTTCAGTCTAAAGAAACGTCTGGAAGCGCTAGATACTGATCAGTATCAGGGGGCTGTTGTACGGGCGCGTTTGAAACGCATATCAGATGGGGAAATTCCCACTAAAAGGGCAGTTGGCATTGAAAAAAGATATGCCGCCAAGAATGAGATAAGCGAAATTCTGTATTGTGTTACGTTGTCTAGTGACAAGGAAAGCATCGAAAAAGCGTTTGTTGAGCATTTCAAAGAACTTTTTAGTTATTGCTCTCAAAAGAGAGACGATTTGCGAATTTTATTTTGCCGTTCAGATTAAGCCGTCTACCCTTAAGCTTGTAGACGGGCTTAAGGAAAGGCTAGAACAGCCTATCACGTTAGGTGAAGTCGAAGAGGCAATAGATGATTTGAAGTAGGGGGAGGGGGGGGGGGGAGGGATTCCGAGTCTAGAGGTCCAACGAGTCAAAAGATCCAACGCGTCAAAAGATCCATTATTGGACCTTCTGACTCGTTGGATCTTTTGACTCGTTGGACCTCTTGACTCGCTGTGGATCTTTCGACTCGTTGGATCTCTTGACTCGTTGGACCTCTTGACCCACATTGGATCTCTTGACTCGTGTTTGGCGAGTCAAAAGATCCAACAAGTCACAAGATCCGTTGTTGGACCTTTTGACTGGTTGGACCTCTTGACTCTCTGCCCGATCACAGGGGAAGGGGGAAAGGGCTTTGAAGAAGAGCAGGAAAAGAAAGAAAGGCAAAACTACGATGAATGACGGCTTTCGGGTGGCAAGGAGGGGAGTGACGGTCACTACACTGAAGCAGGGTGGGATCCCGTGTCTAATCACAAAGCAACAAAAAAGAGGGAGATGAGAGAAGAGGATACAGTGGCCTCGGGGACGACTGATTTTGAGATATTAAATGGCTGGCTGTGTCACGGCGCTTTGCGTTTTCCAGTTTAATCGGATGGTGACCAACGCCATCTCTTTGTGCGGTATGCTTGACTAACACAAGAATTTCCCGAGAGTTGTGCACGCCGCACATAATTGGGGACGTAGGGTGTTTCTCGGATTTAGAAATCAACGAACAGTTAATTGGTGACTGAATTACGAGGCACGTATAGATCAACACGCGGTGCTGACGTCCCGCCCCTGCGGTGGTGCTGCTATCGGCATTGCGCACGCGCAGACGGTCCACTTGACGCACTCCCTGCGCACGTGCAGTGGCCACACCTCGTGCGGAAACTGCGTCTTTTCCCACACCTTGTGAGGGCTTGTATGAAAACAGCGCGTTGGTCTATACGCAGCATAAGCTCCACCTGGAGGAAGGGTTATGTGGATCATTTCGACAGTGTAATGTTTGGCAGTCATCCAGAGGGTCAACATGTCGCAGTACCTTGCCGGCCAGTGCAGCATGACTGCTGACTGGCACCACGCTGTACAGAAAACCAGAATCGGCTTACGTTCCTGTAATCACTACTGCGTGGTGCACCTAAAGACCCCAAGTTATAATCCGTTTCACCTAAGGATGGACCGCAGCCTATGCCAGAAGCCGAGAGCGCGACGCATTGAACACCTTTGTGTTCAGGTTGAGCAGGATTGATCAATAGCCATGCACAGTTTCATTCGTCATTCTATGCATCGCGATAGTACCGATATATATATATATATATATATATATATATATATATATATATATATTTTTTTTTTTTTTTTGCATAATCCCGGAAGTTTTATATTACTTATCCTTTTCATGTACGGAACCTAGTCGATTTTGTTCGTACAAACTGAATTATTATATTCGCACGTAATTAGGCCGAGAAAAAAAACCATTGTACTTTCCACATTTTCGCGACATATTTTGAGCCTTGCACCCCATGATCCATTACAGCGACCGCTTATCAAATGCTAATTTAAATTTCGATATATCTTGTGTCGAACCTGAAAGTTCATTAGAAAGGAAAAGTTCACCGCAATATATCAACCCGCCTTTAAAACATATATCTTTTAAATTATAATTATGAATTATTTTTCGTCATATTGCCTTCCCATTGGCCAAGTTCGATATCTTACCTGCACGGAAAGAAACGGTGAATTATCGGGAGTTGCTCTCTTCGAAGTGGCCATCTAAGGCGCATCCTAAAGGAGCCTTGAAACGATTTTTCTACTTTTGCTAAATACTAGTTAGAATCACTCCCTAACGTTAATCACTGAATAAACTTGCATTAGTTTTTTTCTGAGAGCAGTCGCCAAATAAGTTTGAGAAATATGAGCATCGTTCATCCCCTCAACTCGGAGCCAGAACAAGCGGCCACGTGGCCCGGCGCCTATCCTATACCTTTAACGTCAATCATACCCACGTGCAGGGTTTGACAAAGAAGAGAACGTGTGCTCAGCTCACACATTGTTGGAGTTGGGCTATTCTCATCACCGCTGTGGTTGGACACGAGCCACTACCCGAGTGTCCGCCGAGGCATTGATTGTTACGAGCTGAAGGCGAGTGCTCACATAGCTCTCGCGTCCAATCTATACATGAGCCGCGCTCGACTGTCGTCAGTCGGGTGATTTCGATTCCACAACCACGTCATTCAGCTTTGCAAAGGCAAGACTGAAAGAAATAGTCCCATTTTATCTTCGCGATTTCACAATTTCGCCGCGACAGAGAAGTTTCTGAATCAGTGGCGGTCTGCACGATTATACTTATGCCAGGCTGGGACCAGTACAAACCGGCAAAGTCATGAACGTTCCAACCCGATATCGTTTCATGACCCCTTTAAAAGGACCGTGAAATGATTTTAATGTTCAACGAACCTAGTGCGTCAGGGACCCAGGAACCAGGGGGGCAACAGGCGCTTAAGCACCCGCTGACATTTTCTAGGGGGTGCTTTCGTGACTGCTTTGCAATATGTAGCGGCAGTTCTCGAGTAATTGGAGCTTTTGACCCGCAGTGGACCTCTTGACTCATGTCTGCCTAGTCAAGAGATCCAACGCTGAAAAAGATCCATTATTGGACCTTCTGACTCGTTGGATCTTTTGACTCGTTGGACCTCTTGACTCGCCGTGCACCTTTTGACTCGTTGGATCTTTTGGCTCGTTGGACCTCTTGACCCACATTGGATCTTTTGACTCGTGTCTGGCGAGTCAAAAGATCCAACGAGTCATAAGATCCATTTTTGGACCTTTTGACTCGTTGGATCTTTTGACTCGTTGGATCTGTTGACCACAAGCGGGGGGGAGGGGGGGGGGGGGGGGGAATCGCCTGGGCCCGATGGTTTCGGAGCGGAGTTTATGAAGTGTTTAAAGATCGAGAAGCTCCTTTTTTGCACTGTGCTTTTTCCGAGGCGTTCCGACTTAATATTTTACCGCCGACTTTTTGGTCCACTCATACTATTTTAATCCCTAAAGTGAGGATCGAGTTAAGCTACGCTCGGTTGGAGCGTACCCTCCGATTACTTTGTCGAATGTGAACTAGAAGATTTTGATGAAGGTGCTGGCGGAACGACTAAAAGTCGTGAACAACCTTATAGTCGGTTCTCACCAGACGTGTGGTATTAAGGGGATGACAATTGTTACAAACGTGCATGTAGCGAGAAATATTTTGGAGTGCTGCGACGATTTCCACAAAAGGTTGCGCTACTACAGATAGACCTCGAGAAAGCCTTTGACCGCGTATCCCACGAAATTGTTTTTCCATTTTAGAATTTGTTAATTTAGGTTCGGTATTGTACGCATGGCTTACGTTAACTGCGTCACCCGTCTGGTTGTGAATAAAACTGTGAGTAAACGTATCCCCCTTTAATCTTCTGTGCGGCAGGGATGCCCGCTTTCGCCGCTGCTGTTTTGTATTTTTCTATAGCCGTAGTGTTTGAGTGTGTTACGTAGTGGGCATATATGCGGCTTTAATTTACCAGCTACCGAGTTTCGTTTTTT